ACAGTGTAGGCGATAATTGAATTAGTTGACTCTTCAGAACATACCTCCCTAGAAGCATGGCTCAATTTCCCCAATTGACCAGTAATTGGAGAGCATTTGAGCACACCCACGTACACCAACACCCACCTAACATTAACACCCCCACCTCCCCCTTTCCCTACCATGTACAACATGTCAAATCAATCAATAAATCAATGTTTATTCGGGTAAAAGAACCAAGATGAGTTTCTGTTGGATTTCTAGATGCAGCTAGTAACATACTATGCTTAAAGCCACTAATACGTACAGCGTTTGGGGCCTCTGTACCACTGAGCCTCTGTACCACTGTACCATTGAGCCACTGTGAACAGGTATGGTGCGAACTGAACAGTTCTTCACCTCTGTGGGCGGAGGGAGGCTGGACTACCGTTTCCAGACAAGGAGACTTGGAGAACTTCACCACCTTAGACCCCAACTTTCCAGTCTTCGGTCGCCAGTACTTCATTGGTGAGTATGAAATGGAGGGGGTTTCTATGGTTACTTGTGCTGGTAAGTGTTCTGTGGCTCTGTCTGTCTCTGTGTCTCTGTCTATCTCTCTCTGTGTCTCTGTCTATCTCTCTCTGTGTGTCTCTCTCTCTGTCTGTCTTTGTCTATCTCTCTCTGTGTCTCTGTCTATCTCTCTCTGTGTCTCTGTCTATCTCTCTCTCTGTGTCTGTCTGTCTCTGTCTATCTCTCTCTCTCTGTGTCTCTGTCTATCTCTCTCTGTGTGTCTCTCTCTCTGTCTGTCTGTCTATCTCTCTCTGTGTCTCTGTCTATCTCTCTCTGTCTCTCTGTCTCTCTGTCTCTCTCTCTCTCTCTCTCTCTCTCTCTCTCTCTCTCTCTCTCTCTCTCTCTCTCTCTCATTCCATCACTCCGCCCCCAAATATGTCAAGTGTGTCGATATATTGCGAACAATTATTGAATGTTCACCTCTGGTTCCATTCTTCCTCCTTCGTATTCACACAAACAATAATAATAATGCTTATGAATCAAATTATACCGTCTATATTACCACACCAAACCAGCAGTAACTACAAGAACACGGCTTACAAACTATAATTTCGTTAACAAAAAGATTGATTCAAATCTATGTAATGGTATAATTACTGAAGACTCCTTACAGAAGTTAGGGAATAACAATATACAGGAAACAGAGGACGGTAGATGACGGGTAGATGACGGGTAGATGACGGTAATTGGAGCTGTTCTGTCGTGCAGTAGACCTGTCAAATTAAGCCACGACAGCTAATGGCCCGGTTAAGGGGTCACGTGTAGCCAACTAGCTGCAACAAGCTCTTTTGTCTAATCACTTAAAAAGGCTGTTTTGTTGCCCATTTCCTATATTTGTCGTTGAATAAATGATGATGACAATTTCGTCATGGACTGACGGGCTGCGTAAAACACACACACACACACACACACACACACACACACACACACACACACACACACACACACACACACACACACACACACACACACACACACACACACACACGAAGTTGTATTCCCGGAAGGGCTAATTGGGGAGAATTACACCTTGAGCCGGGAGCGTATCGCAGCGAACCTCTTCCAAGATTAACGCTGTACACTGCCCCGTTGCCCTTCGTGCGAGGGCACCCCAAGCCACTTGGATTGGTGGGCATAGAGACGACCTCGGTTCTTGAAGTTTGGCCTTCGTATCCCGGTGGTGGAGGGGGGGGGGGTAAAGGGCACAGCACATTCCCTTCATCCTCTTGTCATGGACCTTCCAAGTGATATATATATATATATTGCCAGATTAAAGTGGTTTCTCCTGATAATTGCCGTATCACAACCGCACTGTCGTGACGATGTGAAGCCTGTTCGCTGATTGGTTACCAGGCGTGATAATCTCTCGTTAGGGGCGCCCTAGTTCGTGCTAACGGTTCTAGTGAGAATGGCGAACCATTAACCCATTTGTTTTTCTTGTAGAATATCGATATGTAGTTGGTCATGGTCTTACGTACTCCTGTAATGGAGTACGTAAGGTCGTACGAGAGGTCATTCCACTCCTACCTCTGATGGGGGAGGTAGTGACCTCCTAGACCTTTGGATTGGGTGATTGCCTATCGCTACTTGCCTGTTCCTTCCTATTGGGGGAGTGATATCTACTTTCTATCCCCAATTGGCTGTGTAACCTCTTGTGCGTTTTTAATAAATATCTTGATGTTCGTGGTTTGTGGCGTAACTGCTCTTGAAGGAGTGGACGGAGGTGGCTTCCTTAACTTCGACTTCCAGTATGGTTTGTTGACCACCTTGTGTACCATCCATGTACTATCCCCTCTGTTTCTTAGACCTATTCACTTTTCTATCTTTCATCAGTGTATTCTTGTGTTAGTCTGTCCTTATCTACCCCCTGTCTATTTCCCATCAGTATTTTGTATGTAGTGAGCAGGAGCTCGTAGACCAGGTCACTGAGAGATGTACAGCAGCATTATTAACGTGTGTTGACCAGACCACACACTAGAAGGTGAAGGGACGACGACGACGTTTCGGTCCGTCCTGGACCCATTCTAAAGTCGATTGTGAGAATGGTCCAGGACGGACCGAAACGTCGTCGTCCCTTCACCTTCTAGTGTGTGGTCTGGTCAACATACTTTAGCCACGTTATTGTGACTCATCGCCTCCATTATCAACGTGTGTTTTCTCACCTATTTGTGTCTACAGACTCGAGCTTCAGCTCTTGGATACTAGTGCATTATCAGACGTCATAGACAATCAACCCTAAACTGTGCCATATTTTGCAGGCATTGAAAACCTGGCCGCCATGAACAAGGATCCAGGCGGCATGGTACGCCCTCTGGTGCTTCAGGTGAGTTGCCTGAGTTTCTGAAAACGGTTAAAGATGTATATTTGATCGATCTGACTGTGATGCGAACGCATTTAGGTGTTGAATTGCACACGACATACCATCACTAGAGTTAACTTATAGTTTATATTTACTAAACAGTTTACGAGCTCCGAAGCGCTACGAGGTCGTCCGGACTAATAATAATCTTGGATTGCGCTCACGAGATCTTAAACTCGTTAGTGAATACAGACAATTAGGTGTTACGATCGAGGTAAGAGGTACAAGTCTTGGAAGTAGTAAGGTAATTGATTGGTAAATCTTGGCCCTGGTGTCCCCTGACCTGGTGTCCCTGACCTGGTGTCCCCTGACCTGGTGTCCCTGACCTGGTGTCCCTGACCTGGTGCCCCCTGACCTGGTGTCCCTGACCTGGTGTCCCTGACCTGGTGTCCCCTAACCTGGTGTCCCCCTAACCTGGTGTCCCCTGACCTGGTGTCCCCTGACCTGGTGTCCCTGACCTGGTGTCCCCTGAACACGTAGACCTGTTATCGTAGACCTGGTGTCCCCTGACCTGGTGCCCCCTAACCTGGTGTCCCTGACCTGGTGCCCCCTGACCTGGTGTCCCTGACCTGGTGTCCCCTGACCTGGTGTCCCTGACCTGGTGTCCCCTGACCTGGTGTCCCCTGACCTGGTGCCCCCTAACCTGGTGTCCCCTAACCTGGTGTCCCCTAACCTGGTGTCCCCTAACCTGGTGTCCCCCTAACCTGGTGTCCCCTAACCTGGTGTCCCCCTAACCTGGTGTCCCCTAACCTGGTGTCCCCCTAACCTGGTGCCCCCCTAACCTGGTGTCCCCTGGCCTGGTGTCCCCTAACCTGGTGTCCCCTGACCTGGTGCCCCCTGACCTGGTGCCCCTGACCTGGTGTCCCCTAACCTGGTGTCCCCTAACCTGGTGTCCCCCTAACCTGGTGTCCCCTAACCTGGTGTCCCCTGACCTGGTGTCCCCTGACCTGGTGTCCCCTGACCTGGTGTCCCCCTAACCTGGTGTCCCCTGGCCTGGTGTCCCCTAACCTGGTGTCCCCTGACCTGGTGCCCCCTGACCTGGTGCCCCTGACCTGGTGTCCCCTAACCTGGTGTCCCCTGACCTGGTGTCCCCCTAACCTGGTGTCCCCTGACCTGGTGTCCCCTGACCTGGTGCCCCCTAACCTGGTGTCCCCTGACCTGGTGTCCCCTGACCTGGTGTCCCCCTAACCTGGTGTCCCCTGACCTGGTGTCCCCTACAGGTACTGATGAAAGGAGGTGACCAAGAGCTGTACCACGCCACCTATGACCACCTGGTGCTGGGGCCTAGTTACCAGTTGCTGGAGGTGGGAAATTATCATGGCAACGCTGGTGAGTCTCTGAATACCATGGCAACGCTGGTGAGTCTCTGAATACCATGGCAACGCTGGTGAGTCTCTGAATACCATGGCAACGCTGGTGAGTCTCTGAATACCATGGCAACGCTGGTGAGTCTCTGAATACCATGGCAACGCTGGTGAGTCTCTGAATACCATGGCAACGCTGGTGAGTCTCTGAATACCATGGTAACGCTGGTGAGTCTCTGAATACCATGGCAACGCTGGTGAGTCTCTGAATACCGTGGCAGCGGTGGTGAGTCTCTGAATACCATGGCAACGCTGGTGAGTCTCTGAATACCATGGCAACGCTGGTGAGTCTCTGAATACCATGGCAACGCTGGTGAGTCTCTGAATACCATGGCAACGCTGGTGAGTCTCTGAATACCATGGCAACGCTGGTGAGTCTCTGAATACCATGGCAACGCTGGTAAGTCTCTGAATACCATGGCAACGCTGGTGAGTCTCTGAATACCATGGCAACGCTGGTGAGTCTCTGAATACCATGGCAACGCTGGTGAGTCTCTGAATACCATGGCAACGCTGGTGAGTCTCTGAATACCATGGCAACGCTGGTGAGTCTCTGAATACCATGGCAACGCTGGTGAGTCTCTGAATACCATGGCAACGCTGGTGAGTCTCTGAATACCGTGGCAGCGTTAGCGAGTCGTCTGAGATTAAAGTTTTTTCTTACATATTCCACGTAACAGCTGCAAAATCTAGAATCTAGTCTCGCGAAAGTTAGCTTAAAATTATATTTTTGCCGCCTTTTCCCTCTTCCTAGCTTGCTTTCCCACCTCTCCCACTGCTTTTTCCCCCCTCTCCCATGTGCTGTCTCTCTCTCTCAATCTTCCTCCTTTCTCCCAGGTGATTCTCTGAGCTACAACATCAACGTGACTTTCTCGGTGACGGGTCAGTGGTGGAGCCCGGAGAATGGCAGTAGTCCTTTGGCGGTGAGCACTGTCTGTCTCTCTCTATGTGTGTGTGTGTGTGTGTGTGTGTGTGTGTGTGTGTGTGTGTGTGTGTGTGTGTGTGTGTAGGGAGAGGGAGGGAATTATCAGGGGGGGGAAAGCGCCAATTAGCCATTGCGCTTTGCCATACATTGTCTGCATGTCAGAAAGGCGGGGTCCAAGATCTAAAGCCTCGACCCTGCATGCATGAATTGTAAATACTCACCTCCCTCCCCCATCTACACCCCGCATCTACACCCCCACCCCCATCTACACCCCCCATCTACACCCCATCTACACCCCCATCTACACCCCCCATCTACACCCCCCATCTACACCCCCCATCTACACCCCATCTACACCCCCATCTACACCCCCATCTACACCCCCATCTACACCCCCATCTACACCCCCCATCTACACCCCATCTACACCCCCCCCCCCATCTACACCCCATCTACACCCCCATCTACACCCCCCATCTACACCCCCATCTACACCCCCATCTACACCCCATCTACACCCCCATCTACACCCCATCTACACCCCCATCTACACCCTTATCTACACCCCCCATCTACACCCCCACCCCCATCTACACCCCCATCTACACCCTTATCTACACCCCCCATCTACACCCCCACCCCCATCTACACCCCCATCTACACCCCATCTACACCCCCATCTACACCCCCATCTACACCCCCCATCTACACCCCCATCTACACCCCCATCTACACCCCCACCCCCATCTACACCCCCATCTACACCCCATCTACACCCCCATCTACACCCCCATCTACACCCCCCATCTACACCCCCCATCTACACCCCCATCTACACCCCCATCTACACCCCCATCTACACCCCCCATCTACACCCCCATCTACACCCCCATCTACACCCCCCATCTACACCCCCCATCTACACCCCCCATCTACACCCCCCATCTACACCCCCATCTACACCCCATCTACACCCCCATCTACACCCCCCATCTACACCCCCCATCTACACCCCCATCTACACCCCATCTACACCCCCATCTACACCCCCATCTACACCCCCATCTACACCCCCATCTACACCCCCATCTACACCCCCCCACGTACTAATACAACTTCCTGACGCCCCTTTCAGTCTCACGTGGGCAGGAACCTAATAGTGTGGCCAACGCTCCTGCATGTTCCCGCCGTCATCGCCGCTGTCGTCCGCGTCAGGACCTCTCAGTACGACGCCGGTAGGTGGCACCACCTCTTCGACTTCGACCTCGAAGTCGCGGGCGAGGGCTTCAGGGGTAACTTGCGAGGAAATGGAGAGGCGAGCAGGCCGTATAGCGGCCACTTGGGGATTGTAGTGTATGGCTAGTGTGTCCGTTTTGAGAATACTACTACTACTAGTGGTAGTGGTAGTGGTAATAACAGCATCAGTAGGAATTATAGTAGTTGAGGCACTGCTGATAGTAGCTATGATAGTACTGATACTACGATCGTAGTATAAGTGGTAGTGGAAGTGTTGGTACTAGTCATAGGCGCACTACTAGTATTCTAGCTCTATTCTAGCATATAAATAATATTTAAATAGTTTATAAATGAAATGAACTTGATAATTACGGAGCCCAGGATTCACGGTATTGAAGTGAGAGAGAGAATCTCTCTACGAATTAGAGAGATCTACGAATTAGAGAGATCTGCGAATTAGAGAAGAATATAGCGCAGGGATTTAGTAGTTTTATACACTAGTTTACCATGGAAAATGTATGAAAAGACAGTTTTCTGTTATTACACTTAAACGCCCATTTTCTTTTATTGTGTTTTTCAATTTTTCCCCCCAGCCACATCATGTAGTCCATTGGGAGTAATGGAGCCAGCATGGACTGTGTTAGTCCCCTCTCTCATGCCTTCCGGGTCTATTACACCTGCTACCAGGACGGCTAATGTGTCAGTCGACGTGAGTCGGGGACCAGGACCGAGAGTGTCGTTCCAATGTCGGTATTTCCACAGAGCGGCCGTCAATAGAATCACATACAGGCCCTTCAATGGTGACATTATGTGCCTGGAGGCGGCCCCAGGACGCTTCAGGTGGAACGTGACGAGTCTGGTGCTGCCGTGTTATCGTAAGTGCTGCTTCTGGAACTCCACCATCTGGCGTTGCTGCTCCTTCACCATCTGAAGGAGCAGCAATCCGTCACCACCCTCCGTCAACAGCTGGTGGAGTACCAGTAGCGGATGAAGCTACTCTTACTACTACTACCCACTTTCAAAGTTCCTTTTCCTTTCTTCTGTGTAATCTGACAGCTAATTAACATGAAATATCTAAAGATAAACTTACAAGCCTGATGCAATAGCGATCACGGAAACTAAAATAACAGGAATGACCGATAATGCAATATTATCCAGAGAATATCGGATAGCAAGATGGTGATGGAGAAGGAACATTTGTATAAGGTCTTGAGGATGCTGTGAGCCATGCTAACATCCCTACCATCTTCCCCCCATGGCTCTCTTACCTACCAGTGCCTGTCTCCCACAGCATCCTGCCTAGCGAACTACGTGCTGGCTCAAGACGAGGCTTCCTGCTACAGTTTCCTGGACATGACGACGCCTGTCAACATCGTCTCTGCTTCCCTCACGTGAGTCTTTTTTTGTGTCGTCGTCCTCTTCCACCTCCTCGTCCTCCTCCTCCTCCTCGTCCTCCTCCTCCTCTTCAGTGTCCCATCTCCTCATTTCTCACCCCATCTCTGGGTTAATTCGTGATCTTTTCCTGTTTCTTCCATTTCTATCTCCCTTTTTACAATATCTCCTTTGACAATCTTGTTTTTACTCTTCTATCTCCCTTTATTCTTTCTCTCTCTCTCTCTGTCCACCCATTCTTTATGTCCACTCATTTTCTCTCTCTCCCTTCTTAATCTCTCTCGTCATTCTTGGAGGGCGAGGCCTCAGACGTCCACGTTCCTCCTCCGACAGGTGCATCCGAAGGGGAGGTACCCTGGCAGTGTTCCGGAACGCCTCTGATGTCGTCACCTTGGCTCCTGATGGTGTCTTCTTTTACACCTTCTACGTCGCGGGGTAATGTGTTGCGGGGGGGATGAGAGCTACGCTCGTGGTGTCCCGTCTTCCCAGTACTCTTTATCGTATAACGCTTTGAAACATGGATTTGTGTGTGCTGCCTCATGTCAATATACACATTATAATGCAGTAGACACGAAGGTACGTTTTTGTAAACCAAAAATATCTAGCAAATACAACAAATGCTAATGTATTTACAACCCTTTACAGGTCCACATGGCCCAACAGCTTAGACACGTTAATGGCCACCTGTGACCCCACACCTGGCAGCCTATGTCAGGTCAGTTCACTGGCTGTTTGTCAGGTCATTTGACAACCTATGTGTGTATATTCCACACACACACACACTACAACCCTGAATAACCTGTAATTGGCTGTGTCCGTTGTAACCCACTACAGGCGCAGCCGGGAGCTAGTTGTGGTGTTGTTGCACGAACCCCTGTGGCTACCGGGGGATACCAAATGGTTTATAAGTACCAGAGCTGCGTGGATACCAGTACCCAGGTGGCCTGCATGTATCCTGGTTCGTATACAGCCGGTATTCTCTCTCTCTCTCTCTCTCTCTCTCTCTCTCTCTCTCTCTCTCTCTCTCTCTCTCTCTCTCTCTCTCTCTCTCTCTCTCTCTCTCTCTCTCTCTCTCTCTCTCTCTCTCTCTCTCTCTCTCTCTCTCTCTCTCTCTCTCCCTCTCTCTCTCTACCCATGGTACACATACCATTGCCACCTATATATTGATCGCTACCATACCATGTGTTGTCATTACTGCTGTCAGTGGTAGCCATTAGTGCCATATATTGACCTCTACTACCATGTGCCATCATTACTTGTTTAGTATCTCCATGTAATGACTGCTACCCCTTGTTAATGATATAGTCATTACTACCGGATTGTACTAACCATTTTAAAGTCATTTTTTTGAATTGCAACTACACGGCAACCAATGCAACTGTGCAGCCATTAAGACAACCACTCCTCGAGTGTAGTAGTTACTACAACTATCACTGAACTACCACAACCACTCACCAACTCACAACTACCACATTTTCTAACGGTCACAACCATCAATTACTAGCTACTATCACATCCATTCCATTATTTCCACTAATATGTACTATATTAGTGGACTATACTATGTTATCTGTGCTATATCTGACTATTATCTGTACTATATCTGACTATTATCTGTAATATATCTGACTATTATCTGTACTATATCTGACTATCATCTGTAATATATCTGACTATTATCTGTACTATATCTGACTATCATCTGTAATATATCTGACTATTATCTGTAATATATCTGACTATTATCTGTACTATATCTGACTATTATCTGTAATATATCTGACTATTATCTGTACTATATCTGACTATTATCTGTACTATATCTGACTATTATCTGTACTGTATCTGACTATTATCTGTACTATATCTGACTATTATCTGTACTGTATCTGACTATTATCTGTACTATATCTGACTATTATCTGTACTATATCTGACTATTATCTGTACTATATCTGACTATAATCACGGTAATGATTGATGATTAATGGATACATATGACTGATTATAACTTCCAATCGTCCGGAACACACACAAGGATAAATCAATAGATTAAAAAATAAACTAATCACTGATTGTAATTATTTTTTGTTTATGTCAACAGGTTCGTGTCCCTCGGGGTTCTCTTACATCTATAACAGATGCTTCAGGGGCGTCCCTATAACAGGGGGTGTAGTGGAGGCACTGAGTGCCTGTGCCAATATGTCGGCACTGCTCGCCTACCCAGAGGACTCTGGCACCCTTCAGCTATTAGGAACTCTAGTTAGGGTGAGTTTGTAAGGGGGGAGAAAGTCTTCGTGGGTTTCTTGATCGTGGGTCTCAAAGACTTGCATGCCCTGGAAACACAAACCGAAACTGTATTTATTTTCCGCTGGTTACAACTTGTAATAAAGTTGTTCCATCTTGGCTTAACGTGTTTATGACGTATTAGAACGTTGTTACAACTTGCTATATTGGTTGTTATAACTGGTTAGGAGATGTTAAAACTTGTTCGAACGTTGTACCAACGTCGTAGTTTTGGTGTGTGTTTGGCGGATGGAGAGGAAAATGTATTTTCCTCCTATTTTATGAGTTTCCTCTAATGTATAGGTGACTCCCCTATTATAAATGTTACCCGTTTTAATGGGAGTAATAGGGGCCAACCCCCAACCCGCTTATGACAGCCCCTCCACCATCCTGTTACCTAGCAGTAAATAGGTACCTGGGTGTTAGTCAGCTATCACGGGCTGCTTCCTGGGGGTGGAGGTCTGGTCGAGGACCGGGCCGCGGGGACACTAAAAAAGCCCCGAAATCAACTCAAGATAACCTCAAGATAACCTATTCCCCTGTTATCCACCCTAAAACAGGGCGTTATCATGCCCCACCCCCCCCCCTGTTTACTACGTTCTTTGGCATGGGTAAATCCTCTTGCCCCTTTCATAACTTGGAAATCCTTTTAGAATACATAAATCCCTGTATTCCTTGCGATAGGTAAATTCTGTTAATTATACCAATTTCTAAAATTTAGTTGGTCTCTGTTTGCAAGGAAACACTGATTGTGTTGACCAGACCACACACTAGAAATTGAAGGGACGATGACGTTTCGACTTGAGAATGGTCCAGGACGGACCGAAACGTCGTCGTCCCTTCAATTTCTAGTGTGTGGTCTGGTCAACATACTTCAGCCACGTTATTGTGACTCATCGCCTGCAAACACTGATTGTCTCAATGTCTATGTTACAGAAGATGGTGATCAACATCACAGATCACGTCGACGTGCTCCTCGGTCTGAGCATGTGAGTATAGGGAGGAGGGAGAGAGAGAGAGAGAGAGAGAGAGAGAGAGAGAGAGAGAGAGAGAGAGAGAGAGAGAGAGAGAGAGAGAGAGAGAGAGAGAGAGAGAGAGAGAGAGAGATTAATGCTTCTCTCTTGAATGACTTGATTTTAAAACTCCCTTTCCCTCTGTGGCACTGATTGTAAACATCTCTTTTTCCTCCATGGTAGTGATTGTAAACATCTTTTTCCTCCATGGCACTGATTGTAAACATCTTTTTCCTCCATGGCACTGATTGTAAACATCTCTTTTTCCTCCATGGTAGTGATTGTAAACATCTTTTTCCTCCATGGCACTGATTGTAAACGTCTCTTTTCTCTCCATGACACTGATTGTAAACATCTCTTTTCCCTCCATGGCACTGATTGTAAACATCTCTTTCTTGGCACCGGTGCCACACAGGATGACCGGAGACGTGACTCTAGGCGGGATATACTCGCCTCATGGCAACTGGCTGAACGTGACCGAGGCACCCGGGCCTCTCTACGTCGCCAGAGTGCCAGAGTCAGAAGACCAGCCAGTGGCACTGGCATCCGTCTCCCTCTCCGTGACGAACCTCACTCTCGCCCTCTGCCAGTTTCCGGGTGTGGATGTGTTCGGTATGTGGGGGCTACAGGTGACGTGGAGAGAGAGAGAGAGGGAGAGAGAGAGAGAGGGAGAGAGAGAGGGAGAGAGAGAGGGAGAGAGAGAGAGAGGGAGAGAGAGAGAGAGGGTAGAGAGGGAGGGAGGGAGAGAGGCAGGGTAGAGAGGAAGGGAGGGAATGAGAGAGGGAGAAAGGGTAGAGGGAGGGAGGGAGGGAGAAAGGGTAGAGAGAGGGAGAAAGGGTAGAGAGAGGGAGAAAGGGTAGAGAGGGAGGGAGGGAGAGAAGGAGAAAGGGTAGAGAGGGAGAGAAGGAGAAAGGGTAGGGAGGGAGAGAAGGAGAAAGGGTAGGGAGGGAGAGAGGGAGAAAGGAGAGGGAGGGAGGGAGAGAGAGAAAGGGTAGAGAGGGAGGGAGGGAGGGAGAGAGGGAGAAAGGGTAGAGAGGGAGAAAGGAGAGGGAGGGAGGGAAGAAGGGAATTATCAAAAGAAAGCACCAAGCTATCACGACTATATAGCACTGGGAAAGGGGTCAGGATAAGGATTTGGGATGGAACGGAGGGGAAAGGGAAGGAATGATACCCAACCACTTGGTGGGGACGGTCGGGGATTGAACGCCGACCTGCATGAAGCGAGACCGTCGCTCTACCGTCCAGCCCAAGTGATTGAGCAGAGAAGGGGATTTATGAATGGCGAGAGATAACATGAACAATGAATATGTCACAAATGTATTCCATATAATATTATTATTTTTATGAACACTATAATCATTGTTTATATTACATTGTGCGCATTGTAAAGCATCATATATTTTATAAGGCCGCTTGTCACGCACTGTGCTTTGGTTGCCATGGTTAAAGAGAGATTTAAACATTCCTCCGTAGTACTGATTCTGACATTCCACAACGTCATGAGACCAGAAGACATGGCAGGATGTGCAGAATACCCCCGTTGAAAAGCGGAGGTGCAACAGGTGCTCTGAGAGAGAACTCTATCAACATCAGAGGCCCGAGACTGTTCAACACGCTTCCACTACACATAAGGGGCATAACTGGCCGACCCCTCACAGTGTTCAAGAGAGAACTATCAACATCAGAGGCCCGAGACTGTTCAACACGCTTCCACTACACATAAGGGGCATAACTGGCCGACCCCTCACAGTGTTCAAGAGAGAACTATCAACATCAGAGGCCCGAGACTGTTCAACACGCTTCCACTACACATAAGGGGCATAACTGGCCGACCCCTCACAGTGTTCAAGAGAGAACTATCAACATCAGAGGCCCGAGACTGTTCAACACGCTTCCACTACACATAAGGGGCATAACTGGCCGACCCCTCACAGTGTTCAAGAGAGAACTATCAACATCAGAGGCCCGAGACTGTTCAACACGCTTCCACTACACATAAGGGGCATAACTGGCCGACCCCTCACAGTGTTCAAGAGAGAACTGGATAAGCACCTCCAAAGGATACCTGATCAACCAGGCTGTGACTCATACGTCAGGCTGCGAGCAGCCGCGTCCAACAGCCTGGTTGATCAGTCCGGCAACCAGGAGGCCTGGTCGACGACCGGGCCGCGGGGACGCTAAGCCCCGGAAGCACCTCAAGGAAGCACTTCAAGGTGGGAATCAATCTTGCAGGCGCTCCTTGAACGTCTTGCAAGCATCTTGCAAAGGATCCTACAAGAGAGCACGAGGCTCTTTTGTTTTGGTCCTGAAGCTCAGAAAGGAAAGAGAGGTGTCCAAGGGAGTACAGGGCCAGGTGGCCATCAAGTATCTGTGTCTTTACGAAACCTGTGCATCTTTCCTCAGTCATGGCGGCTTTGTTTACACGTTTTAATCGATTTACGATATTGGAAACTTCACAAACCATGTTATTGTTATAAAATCTCCTCGCAAAGCTACGGACCTCATAAACTGCTCAATGTGTAAAAAAAAAATCCTGATTGAGGAAAGATATACATGTTTCGCAAGTGTCTAGGCAAATGCTCGGTGAGTCTTGGCTGTGGTAGAGTAGATGTGGCGCACAGCTGCGCCACCTATAGATCAGTCACAGCACCTCGGATCTTCACACTAAAAAATACATGAGATAAACATCACCTTCACAGCTGATTGGTGTTTGACGTGTGTCTCCGTCTCTTTAACACAGCTGAGGGAGTCCCATTTCAAGCAAATCCACTTGGATTGGTCGGAAGAACGACGGCCTCGCCTCTTGCAGGGGGGTCGGCGTTCGATTCCCGATGGTCCAAGTGTTCAGGCACCGTTCTTTCATTCGGCTCTCGTATTCTAGGTTCTTGTCCTCGTATTCCAGCTCCTTGTCCTCGTATCCCAGCTCCTTGTCCTCGTATCCCAGCTCCTTGTCCTCGTATCTCAGCTCCTTGTCCTCGTATCCCAGCTCCTTGTCCTCGTATCTCAGCTTCTAGTCCTGATCTCCCAGCTCCTTGTCCTCATATCCCAGCTCCTTGTCCTCATATCCCAGCTCCTTGTCCTCATATCCCAGCTCCTTGTCCTCGTATCCCAGCTCCTTGTCCTCATATCCCAGCTCCTAGTCCTGATATTCCAACCCCCTTGTCCTCATATCCCAGCTCCTTGTCCTCATATCCGTTCAAAGTAATTTCAATTTGGTGTCCAAAGGTCTTGGAGAGGTGGTCATTCAGGCTTAGTGCTTTTTCCTGACAAGTGCTTATCACCTTATTGTATTACAAGCTACATAGCTTGTAATACAATGTAATACATTGTAATACAATGTAATACATTGACTCGGCGTAAGATCTTGAGTCGTGGCGTGTCGACTTGTTCCTAATACTGACGAACTCCATTTTTATAAGTCAAAGATCTTGGCAAGTTTAGGCTTCCCGAGACCAGTAAACCAAAAAAAGATCTTAAACGATGATTTCAGAAGCTGCAAAGGCGCTTAGAGAAATTATATTTTTTTTTGTAGTTTGTGATTTAATTCTTAACTCGTACCTACGGATGTATGTGTGTGCCAACAGAATGCTTGATCCAACAGATTGCTTGACCCCGCCACCAGCTGAAGGTGCCAATATGTTCAGAGTCTGGAATAACGATACTGGGCAGGGTACCATTATCATCTATACGTGAGTATAACTATCATTTTCGCTGTATATATGGGGGGGGGGGAAGTGGAGCATATATATATATAACCCCCCATCCTCTCCACAGCTATCACAGGAGGGTAAAATATATAATATGCATACATCAACCCGTTCTCGCACTTGCGTACAGTCAATATTGGCTTATTTAATAAGTGCATATGTGACATACTAATTGCTTGTGAATATTTTAGTTTACCTTGAAAAGCTTCATAGAAAACACCGACCTCACCTAACCTATTTAGTATGTTAAGATAAGCATCTTATTGGTTCTTATTTACAATCATTACTTATACCTATCAACGGTATAGGTTAAGTAATAATTGTAAATAAGAAGCAATAAGATGCTTGTCTTAACATACTAAGAAGGTTAGGTAAGGTCGGTGTTTTCTATGAAGCTTTTCAAGGTAAACTAAAATATTCACAAGCAATTAGTATGTCACATATGCACTTATTAAATAAGCCAATATTGACTGTACGCAAGTGCGAGAACGGGTTGCATACACCTATCTCCTCTGTCGGAACAAATGACACTTCATTTGCCTTTTTTTAACGAGCCGTCTCACTCGTTTAGTTAAACCTTGACCTCTACTGACCGATAACCTGCGCACGTCTCTCTTTAACGAACTGATCTACTCCGCAAACAGGTGCTACCCCGGCTACTTCGTCGGGAACGACACAGAAGTGACGACGCAGATGGTGGCGTGTCTGGGGCAGCTTGGAGGTTGGCAACCCTCCATGCTACAGCAGTGCCTGGCTCTTGACGGTAAGAGATACTTCCTCCCTCAGACACCCCGCCAAACACACACCGAAACTACGACGTTGGTACAACGTTCGGAACAAGTTTTAACACCACCTAACCAGTTCTAACAACCAATAGAGCAAGTTGTAACAACGTTCTAATACGTCATAAACACGTTAAGCCAAGATGTAACAACTTTATTACAAGTTGTAACAAGCGGAAAGTAGAGTCAGTTACGGTTTGTGTTTCCAGGGACTCGATAACAATATTATTATTAATATTATTATTAGTGTCCATTTGTAATTTGATTATAATGCTTATACTCAAATTAATCTTTCTTAATAACAAAGACGAATCATACAGAACCTGAAGTAATGGGAAATAAGCTGTAACTGGAGTGTTAAGTAACCAGCTGAAGGCTTATCCTCCCTAAACCATGTTAGAGTTTTATCAAAATAAATGAGGCCTAGGATGGCTTATTTAGGCCTAGGATGGCTTATTTAGGCCTAGGATGGCTTATTTAGGCCAAGGATGGCTTATTTAGGCCTAGGATGGCTTATTTAGGCCTAGGATGGCTTATTTAGGCCAAGGATGGCTTATTTAGGCCTAGGATGGCTTATTTAGGCCTAGGATGGCTTATTTAGGCCTAGGATGGCTTATTTAGGCCTAGGAAGGCTTATTTAGACCTAGGATGGCTTATTTAGGCCTAGGATGGCTTATTTAGGCCTAGGATGGCTTATTTAGGCCTAAGAAGGCTTATTTAGACCTAGGATGGCTTATTTAGGCCTAGGATGGCTTATTTAGGCCTAGGATGGCTTATTTAGGCCTAGGATAGGCTGTTAGGTTTATAACTAAGCTTTTGCAAATTTTTGCTATGCATTTTAACAGCCAAGCTGTACAATACATAAACTTTGTATGGGGGGAGAGGGGGGGGGGGAAATTAGTTCGTATTTTGGGCTACCATCCATGGCAGCCACACATAGGATAGATCACACACACACAAACACACACACACACACACACACATTTTAGTTAAAATAGGGGCCTCGTAGCCTGGTGGATAGCGCGCAGGACTCGTAATTCTGTGGCGCGGGTTCGATTCCCGCACGAGGCAGAAACAAATGGGCAAAGTTTCTTTCACCCTAAGTGCCCCTGTTACCTAGCAGTAAATAGGTACCTGGGAGTTAGTCAGCTGTCACGGGCTGCTTCCTGGGGTGTGTGTGAGTGTGGTGTGGGAAAAAAAAAAAAAAAGTAGTTAGTAAACAGTTGATTGACAGTTGAGAGGCGGGCCGAAAGAGCAAAGCTCAACCCCCGCAAAACACAACTAGTAAACACAACTAGTAAACACAACTAGTAAACACACGCACACACACACACACACACACACACACACACACACACACACACACACACACACACACACACACACACACACACACACACACACACACACAGAGTGGTAGACGGTTGGAACAAGTTAGGTGAGAAGGTGGTGGAGGCCAAGACCGTCAGTAGTTTCAAAGCGTTATACAACAAAGAGTGCTGGGAAGACGGGACACCACGAGCGTGGCTCTCATCCTCTAACTACACTTAGGTAATTACACACACAGGATAGGTCACACTACACACCGACCTCACCTGGGGATATGTGTGGGTGCGTTAGAAATATATATGTTGTAGATATAATAGATGAAAAAATAGATTGATTAGAAAGGCGGGGATCCAAGAACAATTAGCTCCATTCTGCAGATACAAATTAGTAAACTTAGTATTAGTAAACTTATATAAATAAATATTAATAATTTAATAAAAATTAAATTAGCAAACTCTTCCCCTACGTTCAACAGTATGCAACGACACCTTCTTGCCGGAGTGGGATGAGGTGAACACCACCTTCAGTGCTGACCACAGGCGCCTAAACGGCTCCGTCACCTACACCTGCCCGCCCTCCATGGCTACCGTGACCAACCAGACTGTCCAGAATGCCACCTGCATCAGTCAGCATCCAGTCACACCTGCCTTCCAGGCATCTGGTCAACACGCAGCCATACCTGCCTTCACCTACGCGCCTGTCCCTATGGCTTGCGACAGTAGGTGGCTGTCACCTGGGAACCTGTAGGAGGCTGGGTTTGAGTTGTGCAATAGGGTACTGAAAGCTGTTTGAATTAGGTGAATTTATTTAATCAGGTGGGTGAGGGGGTGAGGGGATAGGTGAGTGTAGCAGTCCTGTGTGTGTGTGTGTGTGTGTGTGTGTGTGTGTGTGTGTGTGTGTGTGTGTGTGTGTGTGTGTGTGTGTGTGTGTGTGTGTGTGTGTGTGTGGTGTGTGTGTGTGGGTTGTGTGTGTGTGTGTGTGTGTGTGTGTGTGGTTGTGGTTGTGTGTGGTTGTGTGTGTGTGTGTGGTTGTGTGTGGTTGTGTGTGGTTGTGTGTGTGTGTGTGTGTGTATGTGTGTGTGTGTGTGTGTCTGTGTGTGTGTGTGTGTCTGTGTGTGTCTGTGTGTGTGTGTGTGTGTGTGTGTGTGTGTGTGTGTGTGTGTCTGTGTGTGTCTGTGTGTGTCTGTGTGTGTCTGTGTGTGTCTGTGTGTGTCTGTGTGTGTGTGTGTGTGTGTGTGTGTGTGTGTGTGTGTGTGTGTGTGTGTGTGTGTGTGTGTGTGTGTGTGTGTGTGGTTGTGTGTGTGTGGTTGTGTGTGTGTGTGTGTGTGTGTGTGTTCCCAGATCAAGTAGCAGTCCTGTGTGTGTTCTCAGGTCAAGTAACAGTCCTGTGAGTAACCCGATTTCTTTCAGTGTGCTCGTGGGAGCCCCAGGTGGAGAACGCTACCACCACCTGGAACCCGACTGACTCCTGGCTGATCAACGCGACTCTTAGTGCCAGCTGCCTCTCCAACCACACCTTCAATCTCACCACCACCTCCCTGGATCTTGAGTGTACCCCCCTCGGCTGGCAGACCCTTCCTCCCTGCTACCCTGGTGAGTAGAGAGAGAGAGAGAGAGAGAGAGAGAGAGAGAGAGAGAGAGAGAGAGAGAGAGAGAGAGAGAGAGAGAGAGAGAGAGAGAGAGAGAGAGAGAGAGAGAGAGAGAGAGAGAGAGAGAGAGAGAGAGAGAGAGAGAGAGAGAGAGAGAGAGAGAGAGAGAGAGAGAGAGAGAGAGAGAGAGAGAGAGAGAGAGAGAGAGAGAGAGAGAGAGAGAGAGAGAGAGAGAGAGAGAGACAGACAGACAGACAGACAGACAGACAGACAGACAGACAGACAGACAGACAGACAGACAGACAGACAGACAGAGAATGATGGATTCCTCCATCTCTGAATTAGCTATCTAATATGAATATCAGCATGTATGGTAAAGCAAGACCTGGTCCCCAGCGTGTCTGACGGAGCCACCTGCGGTATCACCCGGGGTGCTGCAGAGAGAGACCTTCGCCGACAACGCCGTAGGGAGCTCTGTCACCTACACCTGCGCCCCTCCGCAGTATTTCCCCTTAACCCAGGTCAGTTGTCAAGCTTTACCATCTCGTGCTGGTTCCTTCCGGGGTTCGATGCCCTCTCCACGCCGCCACAATCATTCTCTTCCTCCTTAACATAGTACTTATAGTAACGATATGGACCGGAGTACATATATATCGACTTGACCAGACCACACACTAGAAGGTGAAGGGACGACGACGTTTCGGTCCGTCCTGGACCATTCTCAAGTCGATTGGACTTGAGAATGGTCCAGGACGGACCGAAACGTCGTCGTCCCTTCACCTTCTAGTGTGTGGTCTGGTCAACATACTTTAGCCACGTTATTGTGACTCATCGCCTGCATATATATCGACGTCTTAAGACAGTCAATTTTGCTACTATTGAATTTGGACAAACAGGAAAAGTTTTTTTTTGCATTTATGTTGCTAATGAAAACCTAAACATCATAGGCCTAATACACGCCTAATATAGTACATATATGTACTATACTAGGCCTAATATAGTACATATATGTACTATACTAGGCCTAGGAACATTTGAAGTTTAGTATTTAACATTATTTTTTCCCCACTATATAAAGTGAATAGTACCAAATGCTATTTAATTGTCCATTAACATCAATATACGTCCGGTGTTCCGCACAGTTATGACAAGTATTATCTAAATAGGAGGATGGGTCGGTCACTGATATATAATAACATGTATATTACTCATTAAAACCTAAAAAACACTGTCACAATCTTTAAACACGAGCCTGGAGGACTCTCTAAGACGGTTCGAAGACACTCCAAGCGTCTCCCGTCTTGGAAGAGACGCTTGGGTACCCGTTCGTACCCCCCCCTTAACCCGCCAAACACACACCGAAACTACGACGTTGGTACAACGTTCGAACAAGTTTTAACACCACCTAACCAGTTATAACAACCAATATAGCAAGTTGTAACAACGTTCTAATACGTCATAAACACGTTAAGCCAAGATGTAACAACTTTATTACAAGTTGTAACAAGCGGAAAATAGAGACAGTTTCGGTTTGTGTTTCCAGGGATTAGCCTTTTAATCTCAAACACGTGCTTCAAGAACCCATCATTTGTCAACAGGTGTCTGAAGCACCTGTCAGAGAGAGAAATGTCACCTGTTCCAGCGAGTTCACCTGGGTTCCCGACGCCTCAATGGTCACCTGTGTTACTCGTAAGTCTTCTTCTAGCTGTCATGTCTGACGAATGGCTGTCATGTCTACCGCTTGACTGTAGCCTGGCAGGAATGCCTGCCAGGCTTCTAGCTGACTGGTCGGTCTACTAGCCATCTGTCATAGCTGTGAATTATTCACGCCTGTCAAGATGCTGTCATGGGTGGCATGACTTGCTGAGAGCTGTCAAGGCTACTACTGGCTAGTCATGGATACTAGCTGGCTATTAAATCTAGCAAGTAGTCACAGCTAGCTGTCGTAACGACTAGCTGACTATCATGGCTATTAACTGTTATCATGGCTCATAGTTTACCAGTTATCTATCATAGCTGCTAGTTAACGTAATCATCAAATGTATTTATTAATTTATATCTTGAAACTGTTGGAGACCCCTTCCAAGATGCTAGTTATCATAATTTATTAGGTTTAGAAATAGTACAAAAAATGAATGGGATTTACAGTTTCCAGAAACTTAATCTTTCCTATCTGGCTATATTAAATTTGCAGGAAAATGTATTATTTTCCGTGTTGTACACTGTTAACTGCTACGCCTCTGAGCTGTGCTCGTGTACTCGTTACCATCAATTCTATTTCACACACCAAATATATCTAGGGATTAATAATTAAAAAAATCACGGCATTAACAAAGTAATCCAATGTACTCTAGAGACAAAATACAATATGACTGATAACGTTTAATTAAGGGTTATTAATAATTAGTATCAGTGGTCATTAGCCTTATGAAAAAAGGGGGAAAATGCATAATGTAACTTGTGTATCTGCTTTTGATTAGTGTGTTTAGATGACGACCCTCCACCAGCCCCTGAAGGAGCCACCAGCGACTGGGATAACTTCTCCCGCTCTTCAGGAACCGAGGTGACGTCCTCTGGGAACTGTACTAAGCACTAGGGTTACTTTGCACCTCTGGGGGGGATGTGAAATACAGCTGGTGTACAGAATTTCAGCAAATGTTCGTCTGCCCACTCCTAGTGTCTGTCGAGGGCTTCCTGTAGTTCTCTTCTGTTTTTACATTCCTGTAACTTCCTGCAATCCTCCTCTATTTTTACAGTCCTGTAACTTCCTAGTCCTCCGTTTTTACAGTCTTATAACGCTCTACATTCCTTGGATTGGTCAGTCACATAAATTAGGATCAGGAGGGGTCCCAGGACCACAGCATCACATGTGGCCTTAAGATTACACACACAGCATCCCTATCTATCTCCCCAACAGGTAAATCTGACGTGTTCAAACGGGATGAAATTTAGCGACCTGAACACGAGCATTGTGGTGACGTGTGAAGATGACGGGAACTGGACCCTGGTGGACCCGAGTCTCCTCGTTTGTCGGGAAGGTGAGTCTTACAGCATGTTGTTGTTGTTGTTAAAGATTTAGCTACTCAGGACGAAGTGTCCAAGTAGCACGGGCTATGGTGAGCCCGTAATCTTGCAGCATCTTTCCCCTCGTCTTGTAGGTGGGCATCATCTCTTTTCACCTGTCGTGGGATCACTTTCAGCTGCTATGTAAGAAATCTCCGTTAATTTCACCTGTGCGCAATTAGCTTGAGCTAGTCGGTACAGCAACGGCCTCGCTTCATGCAGGTCGGCGTTCGAATCCCTATGGTCCAAGTGATCAGGCACCAAGCCTTCTCCCAGTATAGAAGTATAGTTACAAAGCTAAATTACCCGGCACCCAAAGGGTCAATTTACCCGTTGTATGCCCTTTATCCACAGAAGTGACAGTACCGCTGCCACCGCTCCCCGCTGGAATGACCCTGATGCCGTCTAGCGGACCCTACTGGACCTCGACGGTGCTTAACTTCAGCTGTGGGGCTGGAACCATGGCCCCGGATGGCAGGACCTACACTACAGTTACCTACGATGGGGTCGCCTGGTCTGCCCTCGATCCTACGTTCCTGTGTGTGTCTGGTCAGTGCCCGCAACCCCTTCGTCCCAATCCCTAAGCCTTGTCCTGATCAGTTCCATGTGTTTTTGTAGATTTGAGATTTATTTCATTGTCTCAATAAACGTACTTGAATCTCCCTACAGTGTGCCCGTATGCTGCTCCTGCCGCTACGGGCTTCCTCGAGACCAACTACTCCGGGGTGGCGGTGATTGGCTCGGCTGTCGGCTACTGGTGTATCGGCGGCGTCTTCGTCGATCTCAATACCTCCTTCGTCAGTGTGTGTCACGACTCTGGCTGGACTGTCGATGTCTTCCCCGACTGTCTGGGTAAGTATCTTTCTGAATGCATATTTTCCTCGCTGTCTGCGTAAGTATTTCTGTGTCTGCGTATTTCCCCGATGGCGTAAATATATCCGTTAGCTTCTAAAGCCGATTTAAGATTGGTTGTGATTAGCATTGTAAACAATTTACTCTGGACATTTGTGTGTGCCAGTTTGGTGAAAAGTGACGATGTTGTTCTGTCTCTTGTGTTCTCCTAGCAAAATAGGGTTTGTGTTGCATCAAAGGCTAGTTTTTTTTTAATATAAAAGTACCTTAATTTAATGTTGTAACTACCTGATTACCTAAATACCATTTTCGTAAATTAATAGCCTTATGACAATCGTGTAGCATAGTAGTCTACGACTGCTTCGTAGACTACGGAGTAGACTACGTCTTCGACTAGAAGTCTACGGTTGTGTGTGTAGGCTCCACAACCGAAGGACCCGGGTTCCATCCACCTGGCAGGACAGAAACCGTTCACCCTAGTAGTAAATAAATACCTGGGAGTTAAGCCGCTGTTGTGAGTTGCCTCCTGGGAAAGGTCAGTAGTTGACCTAAGGGCACCTCGGCGATTCGTCCCGTCTCCGACAAGGGGAATTGTCATCTGCCGAACTGGTCAAGCGAGAGTCCAGAACCTGGAATTCGGGAATTCAATCATGCCGGCTCTGATAGATGATAATATACATTTCAATAATAATTAAAAATAACACACAATTATAATATTACAATATTGATGATACCAATCACAACAATGTTAAATTAATAAAAACTACTTGTTACAATAGTTCTCATTATTATTTAAAATAATTAAAACATGTAATTGCTATTATTTATTATCTAGAGGTTGTTTGGTAATATAATTACTCCTAGCAATAATACTAGTAAATTTAATTATATAAAGTATAATAATCATTAAACTCAATTTTGAGAAACGCGAAATTATATAAAACAAATCACCAGTATGGCCACCATAGCAACTCTCTCCTACTTAGCAGTAATTCCTAAAACAGTTTGACCGCCTCCACAACGCGCGCGGCGGCCATGTTGGCAGCCCTGCCGAGTGTAAACAAAGAGAGTGCCGTTGTTCGCCATTTTTTAAATTCCCCACCCGCCACACCTATGATTTTAGCTGATAATTGTGATAATTTGTTGAGATGGGAGGTGGAGGTGGGATTGTGAACCTTGCAACTTACCTACACCCAAATTATTAAAGTGTTAAGTTGCTTGGATGGAAGAGTTTGTGGTGACTGTGGATTATTTAATACAGATCAACACTATTAAGTGGGTTACATAGTTTATAATTTAATTCGATTTGTCGGAGACTGAAGCCTGTGTGTGTAAATACATAAATATATCTCATTCTTATACATTAGATTTCATTATATAAAAGTACGTGTACAACAGTAGATTGACAGTTGTGAGGCGGGACCAAAGAGCCGAAGCTCAACCTCCCCGCAAGCGCAATTAGGTGAATACACACTTTAGGCTTTTACTGAGCCGCTCCCCCCCCCCCTGCAAATCTCCCTTACTTATTAAAATATTTATATAAGTAATAAAACTTATTACCCCTTACTAAAAATACTGACCCTCTCCAGAATGCAATTCCACAGCAGTTGTCTATAACTCCCGGGTACCTATTTACTGCCAGGTGAACAGGGGTAGTAGGTGAAAGGAAACTTGCCCAACTATTTATTAATGATTTTTTCTCACATTTTTCATGCCACTTGAGCGCACACCGTCTTGGAATGAAAATGAATTTGTAAGTTGCAGTAGTGATTGATTGCACCTGAAATATTGCAGTATTGTCAGGAAACTGAGTTAAAAGATGTTTGAAATATTTAAAAAAGTCTGATATAAATTTGATAAAATGGATTTATAAATTAATAAATAAATTTAAAATGGATTTTTTCTAAATTTTCACAGTTCTATTAATTAATCTATTAAGAATTATTAATAATTCGTTCTATTAAATTAAATTAGTTCTATTAATAGTTCTATTAATTAGTTCTATTAATAATTCTATTAATCTTGCACTATTAATTTTGTGCTAATTTCTTAAGAGATATTAATGTGTTTTTTACACTTTCAGACCATAATATTAACTATTTTTACCTCTCCTCCATTAACTCTTCATATATTTCAAAATAATTCAACATTTTCATGGCTCCATCATATTATTATTTAGTATTTTGGTTAAATTGTGAAATCTTTACACAATCAAATATCAGGAGAAAGTATATGATATGAGAAAATTACTAAAGCCATACAATGGGATCGAATACATGTCTGAGGGGGTTCAGGAACACGGGTTCGATCCCATTGTATGATCACAAAATATTTTTTTTCTTGTAAATTTAATGTGAAAGCAAATCACCTATGACATAAGATTTCTGTAAACAATATTTTCTTAAGTTATTTAAAAAAAACTGACCTCCTTTATATGTATAATCCTAATTTCTGTCTTGTATTAACTGTCTCTTAAGGGGAGTGTATTAGATGCTTGAATGTATACATTCTATACCATATATATGTATGTATATGTATATAATCTATATTGTTACGTTATGGAGACTCAAATTTGTATGATTGCTTGCCGATGTGTATATTTGTGTATGTACGTTTGCTGGCGTGTACATGTGTGTTAAAACACTTAACTGGGCTGTTGCAATCAATTTATATGGTACCTGTAGTTATTATATAATTTTCCTAAGGTATTACAAATGTGTATATTTTGTAACATAAACAGACGAGTATGGATGATATATTTTTTTGCAAAATAAAATCTGTAAGGAATTTAACATGGCGTAAACATCAATTGTGTTAAAAGATAATTACCCTGCTTGAAATAAAATAATTAATTTTTTTTTGTTTACTTAAAAATAAAAACCTTTGTTCCAGCGATGTGTATTGGTTTTAATGGTTTTTTCTTTGGCGTTGGGTTTAAGGCCTATATCAACTTTTAGTGGGGGGGGGGGGGGGGGGCATTAAGATCACTACAATAGCTTACTGACCAACCAGCGAGTATACTTCAGTCCTGAACATTGTTAAAGCCTATACTCTCCGCGGATATACTCCAATACCTGTGTGTATATATATATATATATATATATATATATATATATATATATATATATATATATATATATATATATATATATATATATATATATATATATATATATATTATAATGAAGCTAATAGTTTAATAGTTCTAAATTTCCTAATTCCGATTGGCGTTTATGGAAATAACTCTTACATCTAATAATTCGCGAGTAATCAATTCTGAGAAAAAAAATAAAAATGTAATACTGACAAAAAAAATATTCAGGAGAAATGTATTCATCATAAAAATAATGTTTGATTGATAATAATCTTCCCATTTAGTGGGGGAAAGTTTGGATGAGCGCCATCCATCGTCCCCTCCTTCATTAGAGACGAGGTGAGCAAGAAATGCCCTAGAGAGAGAGAGAGAGGGAGAGAGAGACAGAGAGACAGAGAGACAGAGAGAGAGAGAGAGAGAGAGAGAGAGAGAGAGAGAGAGAGAGAGAGAGAGAGAGAGAGAGAGAGAGAGAGAGAGAGAGAGAGAGAGAGAGAGAGAAAGAGAGAGGGGAAAGCTAGCATAAAACACTCACCAGATAGGAAGAAGCTAACCATAATCATCAGTCAAATCAACCCTGTGCCTTTTCACTTTAATTGTAACCTCTTTTGGGCGGGAAACTCATCCCCGCAATAGGGAAGGGGGATCTAGTTGGCCCGACCCGAGGTGAGAGAGACGGGGGGGACAGGCGGGCTGCTGCGAGAGGCTAGGAATGGCCTGGAATGGGCAGGAATGGGCTGGAATGAGTAGGATGCAGAGGGTGGCGTCCCAGCCACTCCAATAAAACAAGCCCCCAGCAGCTCAATACTTCAACTATGTGACTTATCCTGGCAAACATGTCCGCTTTCCCTGGAACTCACCAATAACATATCTTTCATACTCCGCCGATTTTCGCTGCGGACGTTTTCATATTGGAAGGTTTGTAGGGCCGGGCGAGCTGGCAGGATTGATCGATGGCCACTGCCGCTGATTGATTGATTCTGGTGTTTGCGTTGTTGAGAGCTTTGGATCCTGACTCGGGTATTTGACACGGGCGCGTCGGTGCTGACCCCATCGTCTTGTGCTAAATTGATTGGATGTGCAAAAATGACCGACGGAATTGCGGTTTTTGACGTATAGCCGTCGCTCACCCGGCGTTTTTTAGCCCAATCGGGGTCCTAGGCAGGCCTGAGGAGACGCCGGTGAATGCAATTAGCTAGGACGGGTGCCTAGGCGCCCCTAGGAGCCAGGACAGGCTCAGGAAGGGCTCTGATCGTTCATTAAGAGTCCCGAGCGAAAGTTAGCGCGGCCAGCTCCCCGTTACCCTCGGCGGCTCCGCCAGCTGGTATTCCAATATTGTTAATCGCATCGTGATGTGGTATTTTGGTAATTTTATCATATTACAATGAAAAATTCCTGCTTGCCCCCATGGTATCGAACTGGCCGGAGCTGCCTCAGTTTCTCGCGCCCGGCGGAGAGAGAAGGACCCCCATCTGCCTGCTGGTGACGGACGAGGTGTGCTACTCACTTCAACTTGCCTGCTACTGTGTGACGTCTTGAGACATCTATCAAGATGTGGGGTGGGGGGGGTGACATCCCCCCCCACACCAAACACACACACACACACACTCACACACACGCGGACGGTGTGTGTGTGTGTGTGTGTGGGTGAAAAGTCTCTCATCAGTTCCCCGATTACATTATGGAATATGCAAAAACAATTTCTTTTTACTATATACAATTAACATCAGTCTATTAAGCAACTTGTCTCTACTTCACTGTGTGATAAAGATGACGTCTGGGCCGTCTATGGTGGTGACGGGCAAAGTTAGCCATGGAAAAATGTTCACTAATGTTTAGGCCTAGTTGAAGTGACTGGTGGTAGGCCTAGTGATTGGTGGAAAAGCCTTGTGGCAGCCTGGTTGAAGTGACTGGTGGTAGGTCGTTTGTTAAGTGATGTAAAGCCTAGTGACCTGACTGGTGGCAGGCCTACTGGTGACTGAGGGAGGCCTAGTGACCGTAATTGGCGACAAACTTAGAGACTGATTGACAGTTTCAGTGGCAGTCATGACTGGTGGTAGTTCTAGTGGCACTGGTGGTAGTTCTAATGAGTGACAGTGTTGATACATTTCCAGCGACTAGCGATAGGCCTAGTGGTGATGACTAGTGACATACTGTGTGAATGGTAACAGACCTAGGTGTACCTGGTGAGATAAGCCTAGTAAAAGTAATTAGCGTATTGAATTAGTGACATTAATTATACCCGTAATGACAGCGACGACACACGTGTTGAGTAGTATCAGGCCTAGTGACTGGTCGTAGGCCTAATTACATAGTGATTTACCTAAAAGTGGCTGGTTGTAGACATAGTTATTGATGGTAGGCCTATATAGGCCTAGTTTTAGTGCCTAGTGTAGTAACTTAACCATATTCATATTAATAACATTTCGCCTTTACTACTCAGTAATTTTAGGCGTAAATAATATACAAATAAAAATGAATTTATGAAAAAACGTGAATAGCCAATTGGTATTTTTAAATATAATTAATAATGCATATCAATTAAATATTATTAATCATTAAACCTGCTTCCCATTTGCATTAAAGGAATCTATCGGAATATTTATATTATCGAGAATAATGACTAATTTATATTATCGAGAATAATGACTAATTTATATTATCGAGAATAATGACTAATTTATATTATCGAGAATAATGACTAATTTATATTATCGAGATTAATGACTAATTTATATTATCGAGAATAATGACTAATTTATATTATCGAGAATAATGACTAATTTATATTATCGAGAATAATGACTACAACAATAATAACAATAACTTTAAAATACAACAGTGAGATATTTACGTTCAAAACAGTCATACTTTGACTGTTTTGAACGTAAGTGCAAAAACATTCGTAAATGCACCATTCGCAAAAACAACGTAAATGCAGAAAACGTTCAAAAAAACATGTTTTGTACGTAAACATCTCTCAAAAACAGTCTATGTTTACGAACAAATCCACAAGGGCCGTGACGAGGATTCGAACCTGCGTCCGGGAGCATCCCAGACACTGCCTTAATCGACTGTGCTACGACAGGGTTAAAAGAGTTGAAACCGAAGTTCTATGTTTACGTTCGGGACCTTCTTATGACGTCACGCGGTCACGTGGGCTTTGTTTACGTCGCCATTTTGGGAGTAGGCGGCCTTCGCGGACGAGTTGACGAGATGACGCAATCCCGCCAGGGATTAATAACTGCGTCGCCTGTTCGAATCCTCCTCACGGCCCTTGTGGATTTGTTCATTTGATGCATCACGTTAGTGTGATCTCTGTGTGTAATAACTGCGTCCTGCGTTGATAATTGCTTTCTTGGTGGTTCTATCGTTGATAACGATGGAACCACTGATGGGACGCAGTTGATAATTCTCCCATCGGTGCTTCTAGGGGGAGACATAGTAATTATGTCTCATCGGAAGAACGGTCAAAATATCCACTTCGTCACTGTAATTCAGTGATCAGAGAAAAATGACAGGTTGGATAACAAGAACTTTTCACACTAGAGATGCTATACCGATGATGATACTCTTCAAGACGCTAGTGCTCTCTAGAGTAGAATACTGCTGCACAATGACAGCCCCTTTCAAAGCTGGAGAAATTGCTGACCTGGAGAGCGTGCAGAGATCCTTTACTGCTAAAATCCACTCAGTAAAACATCTAAACTATTGGGACCGACTAAAGAGCCTAAATCTGTGTTCTCTTGAGCGCAGGCGGGAGAGATACATAATAATTTATATATGGAAAATAATAGAGGGGCTGGTCCCAAACCTGCACACAGAAATAACACCACATGAGACCAGAAGACATGGCAGGATGTGCAGAATACCCCCCGTTGAAAAGCAGAGGTGCAACAGGTACCCTGAGAGAGAGAACTCTATCAACATCAGAAGCCCGAGACTGTTCAACACGCTTCCACTACACATAAGGGGCATAACTGGCCGACCCCTCACAGTGTTCAAGAGAGAACTGGATAAGCACCTCCAAAGGATACCTGATCAACCAGGC